GTACAACACGTTTATTGAAAAGACAGGATATATTCACCATATATTTGGTGTTAAAATAGAACATGAAGACGAATTAATTCAGTAATTTACACAATTTTTGAAAGTGAAACGAAACATTACTAAAGTAAAAATTTTAATGGAATAAGTGTTTACGTGTGTGGATTGCTGTGTGGCGTGGTGCCAATTAGATAAACGATAAGTTTTATGCCTTACTTATTACAACGCAGATAATAGCAATAACACACAAAGCGTGACGCTTGGGCTCTGACGAACGGGATGGCCTGATCAGCAGTGGATTAGCAATGGGGGATCCGAGGTCGAGTAGTTCTGGCTTCGAGACAAAGGTATCCGAGTCCCAGTAGTGTTCGAAGATTGCGACAGAAGGAGTTGTAGCTAGCAATGCGGGGATGATGTCGGTCGAAGAGACTGAAGTCCACGAAGAAGCTGAAGAAGAAATCGAGCCACGAAGAATGGTAGGGAGGTTTATAAAGGGAGTAAGAACCGTCCCAACAGAGAATGTAATAGTTTTTTGGAGGGGTTGAAGATGTACCAAAATGTAAAAATGGTAATTAGGATAAAGGGGAATGTGAAAAGGGCAAATGGAAATAAGGGTTTTTAAGGGGGTTAAAAAAGGATTGAGAAGGAAAAATAACAAAAATGTAATGTCTGCGGAAGCAAGTGCGTTCCAAAATACGACTTAAACGGGATAAAAGGGACGAATATATAATAAGTTTTTTATAGGTGTAAAAAAAAAAAGAAGGACGAAAACGAGGAAAATTGTAAACACACAGGAATGCAATTGGCATTCCTGACTCGTAGGCTAAAAAAGAGGAAAAAAAAAACATTATACAACTTTATAATTAGAACTGCATACTTTACACTGATAACTCAACAAAGTTCATAACGGGATGGGCAAGAGCGGTATCATTAGACAAATTATAATAGGAAAATATTTCGAAGTTGAAAGAAGACGAAAGCAAATAATATTAAAAAATTAGTAAAAGTTGTAGACAAATTATCCCACATTTTTTAATGTACGAACATTAGAAAAACTCGACGTTTCTATATCTGATGTACCATTAATCAATTAAACGACGTTCTTGTTTTCACTGTTTTACTTGTTTTTTTAACTTACATTCTAAACGTGTACTTGCAGGAAGCCAAGAATCGTTTCGTTTCTGAATTGGTTGGGGAATC